GAGGAGAAGCCTATTTGCATAATTGGTATCACGTGGTGTTTCCCAGGTCCGCTCCCAACACCCAACCCCCTGGGGAGATGAAAGAGACCCCTGCCCTGTAACTGCTCCGTCAGCTGAGGTACAGATTCTCTGGAAACCTCTAAGAACAGGTGGTTTGTGGTCTTCCCTTGGAAACTATGCCGAGGGAGCCCGTTGCAGGGCCACTAACTCTCGCAGAAAGAGCAGCGGGTTTGGAGGGGAGGCCTTCTCCGGGCTCTGGGCTGCAGCGGGTTTCTCAGGGCTGTGCACGTTTGGGGCCAGATCATTGTTTGTTGCAGGGCTGTCCTGGCATTGAAGACACATGGCAGCACCCCTGGCCTCTATCCACACACACTCCCACGCTGTGACACCAAAAATAGTTCAAGACTTTGCCAAATGTCCCCTGGGAAGCCAAAATTGCCACCAGTTGAGAACCAGTAGCCTAGACCAACAATTTCCCTTCTTTGGCTCTGAACAAAATTTGGTACCTATAGCTTCAATACAGAAACGTCCTTTATGAATCAGGCCCAGTGGTGCACTCCTGTAGTCCCAGCACTTTGGGAGGCCAAGGCAGGAGGATCGCTTGAGCCTAGTTTGAGGTTGCTGTGAGCTATAATGATGCCACAGCACTTTAGGACTGGCAACAGAGAAAGACCCTCAGAAAGAAAGAAAAAGAGAAAAAGAGAGACAGAGAGAGAGAGAAAAGAAACGTCCTTTGTCAAAGAAAATTTCCCTCCTCTAGCTAGTTGCTGTTTTCTTCCCACCCTGTCGTGTTAAGTCAGAGATTTACATTACAATTTGTAGTGGCTAACTTGCAGTGTCACGGCCTACATTGAGGCTGTGTCTCCCGGGCTTTGAATGCCGGCTCTGTGACTGGCCTGACCTGAGGCAAGACATTCCACCTCTGAGAGGCCCGATGTCCCCACCGTGAAGTGTGGAGACGCCTGTCCCACCTGCGTGGCGGAGAGTGGGTGAAATGCCGTGGGCGTGTCCCGCACGCAGCAGGGCTCGCTGTCCGTAGCGGGTGTGACCGTGTCTGCCCTGCTCTCTTCAGGGGCCAGTGCCGGGGACACTCCCGCGGCGGCATGAGACCCCAGCCCCCTACCAAGTCCTTCCACTATTGGCGTAATTCCTTCAAAGCCTGCTCTACGCTTAGAAAGAGCCGGAGGCCGCCTTCTCTCCAAGCCAGGTGCCCCGGCGCAGGGGAAGAGCATGGGCCTCGGGGCCAGTCGGGCCACCGCCCAGAGGGGCCAGGGCTGGTCACTCAGCGTCCTGCTCACCTGAGGACATGGGGCTATCAATTCCCACTTCACAGGGTCTCTGTGCAAAATTTCCCGGCACAGCCAGGTTCCCAGACGGCGTAGAATCACTGACTCTGGCCCGGTCAGCTCACAGACCCCCAGCGCCGGAGGCAGGGATGGGACCAGGGACACAGTCCTGTCTTCAGGGAGCGCCCGCTGGAGGCCCAGGGCAGTTCCACCTTCAGTGTGGCTTCTGCATCAAACCGGGCACGAGCGGGTGTGTTTGCTCACTGAGCACGGGACCTGTGAACCCTGAAACGTCCGCACCTAAGGGACAGGTGGTGATCACCTCCTCCAGGTGTTCCAGATGTGGGGCTGTTTTCTAAATAAGAAAATATTCTTCCAAACCAGACCATTGGCAGCACCAGAGATCTGGGCGGACTCATTCATAGCAGAATATGGAGACTGATGTCATTTCTGAAATCAGGCACCTGTAATACTTTGCTCGTGACAGCCCAGAACCCCAAGGCCAGAGAGTCTCGGCCCATGCTCGGTGCCCAGCCCATGCGGGGTCTGGGAGGCTGCGGGCCACAGTGCTCAGATAGACCCGAGTCTCCAGGCCACTGAGACAAAGGTCTCTCCAGGGCTGCGGGCAGGGTCACATCTGTGCACCCTTCTCCCCCTGCCCTAGGCAGCATCCCATGGGGACCTCATCCAGACCCCACAAGCCAACCACAGGCCCTGAGAATGGGAGCTAGCAGTGACTAGCACAGCCCTAAGTCCAATAGACCCTTTCATGGACCAGTAACCTGAGGCCAAGTGTATGGTGCTGTGTCCCCCAGCCATTCCCCCCACACACACTCAGAGGGGACCAAGCCTGCCAGCTCTGCCCTGAGAGTGGGGAAACCAGGAGCTAGGAGACCACCCATGGCCTTGCTGAGTGGCCCAGGGCAAGCCGCCCAACCACCCAGAGTCTCAGGTCCCCCCTGCAGATTCTGTGACAAGGGGACAGGAGTGCTTCCCGTGCTCTGAATAGCACCCCTGTTTCTTCCAACATTTAGCACACACAGGCACAAAGGTAGAATGCCAGCCACCGGAGGCCAGCACGCAGGGCAGGGAGAGGGTGGCCTCCCCACAAGCTTCCTTGTCTCCGAACAGGGTCTCGCACGGCTCAGGGCTGGCCGCCGAGCTGCCCAAGCCCAGGAAAGGGACCGAGCCTCCAGCAAGGGAGGTGCAAGAAAGGGGATGGGTCCTCCAGGACAGCCTTCCCCAGCTGTTTCCTCCCGGCCAGGCCCAAAGAGGGGGGCCTCCCAGCCCCTGCCCTCTGGCCCCTCCGGCTGGCTCTGCACCCCCCAGCCCCCTCCCACTGCTGCCTGTCCCTCCTCACTCTGTTGAGGGACTGTCCCATGGCCCTCACACCTCCCAAATGCCTCCTCAGTCAGAAATTCTATTCTCATGATCACTTTGGCCTCTAATAATCCTGGTTTTACGGAAGAAAAGACTGAGGGTCAGGGAGGCCCCTAGAACCAGACCCAGTGGGAAATGCTGAAAAGGGCCCCGACCTCCCCTGTCCAGGGGGTGAGCACGCTCCCTACTTCGGCACAATCTTAGGAAAGTCCTCAGGCCTCTCCGGGTCAGTTTTTCTCGTCTATGGAATTAGACCATCTCAAGAGCCCCTTCTGATGCCCCTCAAACTCCAGGAATCCAGCGCGTGAGCTGCCCCTCGGGGCTGTGCCTGCTGAGGGCTGTGGGTGTGGACGGTGCCCCGGTGCCCCGGTGCCTGTGTCTGGTGGGGCTCATGGCCCCACTGGCCCAGTCCCCAGGCTGTTCAGCCCTCCCAGATCTTTGTCACCTGCCCAGGAATGCCTTTCATGGAGATGGTGCCGTGGCCCGCAGGTGTTCTCAGAGCTAGCTTTCTGCACTGAGCCCGCCAGAGGGCCGCTGGGCACACTTGAAATACATGCCGCGGATGCCACCCCTGTGTTCCGTCCTATCACAGATTTCATCTCTCTTTTTTTTTTTTTTTTTTTTGAGACAGAGTCTCACTCTGTCACCCAGGCTAGCGTGCCGTGGCGTCAGCCTAGCTCACAGCAACCTCAAACTCTTGGGCTCAAGCAATCCTTCTGCCTCAGCCTCCCAAGTAGCTGGGACTACAGGCATGCGCCACCATGCCCAGCTAATTTTTTTTATGTATGTTTTTAGTTGGCCAATTAATTTCTTTCTATTTTCAGTAGAGACGGGGTCTCGCTCTTGCTCAGGCTGGTCTCGAACTCCTGACCTCGAGCGATCCTCCCGCCTCGGCATCCCAGAGTGCTAGGATTACAGGCGTGAGCCACCGCTGCCCGGCCTTCTTTCTCTCTTTTTTCATGAAAAGGGAATTCAGTGGGAAATTATTTCTTGAAAGTTGAAGGTCAAATTAAGATCCTGACATTTCCCTGGTAGATCCCTTGGGTGGAACCAACGACATAAGAGGGGGAAAAGCGTGCAGCAGTGTGCTGGCCCAGAGCTGGGCACGGCGGGTCCTCCTGGGGCCAGGGACCCATCGAGCCATGACACTCTGCGGGGAGGGGGCCCTGTTTTCCAGGAAAGAAAACGCCCTGAGAAGTGGAAATGCGACTGAAGTCACAGATGCTGAGCGGCCAAGCTGAGACCTGGAGAAAAGTGAGCACACGCTGTGGGCGCTTCACCCCTTGTGGCCTGGAGGAAGTGGCTGGGGTGGGGGGCTGTGACCCCCATGCCTGCTTCAGGGCTCCGCTCTCTGGAGACCCCACTTTGGAGTCTGCCTCTCCATGCCGCCCTGACCCCGCACCTGCCAGCTGCTCCCGCACACAGCAGGCACCTCTCCCGGGACAGTGGGGCCCCGGGCCGGGCAAGGCAGACACTTCCTTCCCTACTGGCGCCCACTGGTGTTGTGTCTTACTTTCTGGTCTAAATGCAGTTCTTTAATGTGGCAGATAAGCTGTGACACTATGTGGCTGTTCTGCACTCCGTACAGTCTCCCATTTCTCTGCGTATCTAGTATACAAAGGAATAATAAAAATCACCTTTTTTCCCCAGTGTGGGGGCCTCCACATGCACCGGTTCAGGGGCGCAGTTATGGTGCTCACCCCAAGTCTCAGAGCTAACGGGGGCCGCCTGGAGTCCACCCACGCCTCCTCCGAGCCGAGCCGGTGGCCGGGCGGCTCTGCCTCTCTGCCGCGGTGGGGAAGCGCCCGACAGGCCAGGCGCGGGTTTGATCTGCCCGAGCCCGGCCGGGCGCCCAGCCTGGGACTTAATTAGGCCGGCGAGAAGGCTTCCAGTAGACATGAAAGGGGCCAGCAATACGGGACTGTTCCATATATAGGAACTCTCCGCTTTAAAGCTCTATTATCTATTTATCACCTATTAATTTTTTTAAAGAAAATAATTGACTCTCCCGACAGAGTTCAGAGGCAGGTGGAGACTGTCTTTCCTTTTTTCTTATGAAGGAAGAAGCCTAGAGATGTTTGGGGGGAGGGGCTTTATTTTGTAGACGGTGTTTGAACACGAGCTAGAACCAGATGGCAGAGGCTCTTTTTTTTTTTTCTATAAACAATCGGGCCTCTCTAGGTCGCCCTGGTGGTTACATCTCAAATCTGCTTGAAGACGCCTTGCTGGGCGGAATCGGAATGTCACCAAGCCCCGTCAGAGCTGGAAGGTTCTAGAGCTCTGGGGTGCTGACACTCGCCTCTCGGGCTGCTGCGGGTTCCGGGGGTGGGGGGTGGGGGTGACGCGTGGACAGTCCCTAAGTCAGGGCCCGGCACAAAGACACAGTGTTTCCATTGCTGCCTGTTGTCACCGGAATCTGTAATTATCACGCTACATTGATTATTGGTAGGGAGAGAACATGTTATAATTTTTAAAAATTGTATAAATTATCTTCTAGACTTTTTAAAAACTTTCTATGACTATATCTGCCTTTGTTTCTGCTTGTATGGAAATTAAACTTTTGCCTTTTCCTGCAAAATTATCTTTTATAGCCTACTGGATTATGATTATAATACTTTGTACTTTCGCAGGGCCTTTTATCCAGGAATCTCAAAGCACTTCGTAAACTTTAATTAATTCTTGCAACAAGCCCCGTGAGGTAGGTAAGTATTATTATCCCCATTTTACAGATAAGGAGAGCGAGACATTGAGAAGTTCAGTAACTTGCCGAAGGCCCCAAAGCAGTTAGCAGCTAAGTCTGAACAAGACCGCAAACCGCCTGTCTCAGGCCCTGCCTGGCACACGGAGCTGTCCTGCTGGTCCCCGGCCGCCCGGGCCTGATTGACGGAGACTCAATCAATAGCAGCGCCCGTGTTAAGTACATGTTGTATGGCTTACAGGCGCTGCGGGAACTGTTTGGGCTGACTCATTTGTTTCACCAGGTACTGGTTTATCTTCAGGGGAGCCGAGCAAAGCCTGCAAACCCACTTCTCGGATCTGAACACTCCTGCTACACGGCCGTCTCCCCCTGCAAACTCCACTTCCCTCACGTTCAGACTCAACCAAGCATCTCCTCTGCTGAGTGCCCAGCACAGTGCTAGTGGCTTTTTTGTCCCCGACATTTCCTCCAGGTAAATTCTTACAGTAACCCTATGAGTAACTGTCGTTATCCCCATTTTACAAATGAGGAAAACTGAGGTTCTGAAACTGAAGTGGCACATTCAAGGTTACACAGAAGAACGGGGATTCCAACCAAGTTCTAGAACAAAAATTAATGTTCTTGTCACTTAACCAGCTGACACCTGGTACCCAGGTGTGTTGCAGGAAGCCTTACCGATCCTACAGTGGCATTTCCAAAGGACACTGGTTAGTGAGTGAAGAGCTCTTGTTGTTATTATGAGCCAGGCTGAGCTGACAGTTTCTATTATTGGATGCATGGATAGTAGGGCACACTCCAAGTCTCAGTGCAAGTTTTCAGAATGGGCCACGGTTCCTCCTAAGAGACCCCTTGCGAAGGGTGCCCGGCAGATGGCTGTCATGGTCTGCCCACCCCCCACCCCGTCTTTCCTGACCCAGTGGTCTTGTACCACCAGCAGCAGAATTCCTCCCCTTGGGCACAGAAATGGCCCAGGACTGTTGAAGTCAGACAAGCCTAGATTTGAATTCTGGTTCTATACTGGCTTGTGGTTAATCTCGGGCAAGTCCCAATCCCTCCCTGCCTTAGTTTCCTCATTACTTCAAGGAGCTGTAGCAAGAGTCAGATGCATTTAGGAACACGAGAGCCCACAGCACAGAGCCCTCATAGCAAGTGCTCAGCACCTGCCCGCGACCCGTTCTCTTCTCCCGCAGCCACTGGCCAGGTCTGCCACCGCACAGCCGGGGGACCCACGCCAGCCACGTCCAGTGCTTTTTGCTGCTGTTGCCTTTGCCACATCCTGGCTCAGACTGGCGCGCTACCTCACCCAGGTCATTACAGCACTCTAGAGCAGTCACAACAGCCACTCCCGCCACCCCGTGTGACAGCTTGCACATCCTCTGGCCAGGGGTCACCCCGCCGTGGGGTGTCACACTTGTCTCAGATCCTGCGACTCAGGCCCTGCCCTGCTGAAGCGGAGTGTTGGACTCATCACGCCTCCAGCCTCGGAGCCTGCAAGCCTGGACCTCCTGGGGCTCTCCTCCCCGCATTAGAACTGCAGGCTCAGCCTTGGGAAACGGCGAGTGCCTTCCCCGTGCCCTGGGTCGGGGCAGGCACTCGGGTCCTGTCACACTGCCTAAGACCCGCTTCTCTCAGGCCTGGCAAATGTGAGAGAAAGCAGCACACTTTTCTGTTGAATCAGAGCTGTGAAGAATAGCAATGGTCACATGACAATGTTTAAGTTTCTAACAAGTTCCACGATGCCAGCCTCTCCCCCTGCACGCCCCTCCCCTCTCAGGCCCTAAGGACACCCGCCCAGCACTGCCTGGAGCGAAGGCCACCAACACTGCCTGCAGTTCGGCCCAGAAATGACGAGGACTGGGTGTTCCGAGCCACTGCCTGCAGGACGAGCCCCCAGCCCTTTCCTCCCCCTCACTGGGCTGTGGGCACCACAACACAGGGGCAGGGAGGGCATGTCCTTGTAAACCAGCCTTGCCCGGAGGTGGCCTGTCCAGCGATGGGAGCACCAGGGCTCCAGACAGCCCTGTCCCCAGAGCTGTCACTGCTGCCTCGTCCTGTCTGCAGGTCTCAGCCCCAGCCTGGCACCCCAGTGTGCACTCCGGCCTTGAGCCCCCTGCCTTGCCGGGCTGCTGTTCCCTCAGCCTCGCGGGCTGGGCTGGCCTGAGCCAGTCCCTCAGCCTTGACCAGCTGGAGTTTCTGGGCCTGGCCTTGGCCAACCCCACCCCAGTCTGGCCCCTGGCAGGCTGCCCCCACGTCCCCAGGCTGTCTGCCTTCCCAGTGGGCCTTTCTTACTTAAACAGTAGCAGAATTACATAAATACTGGCCCAGTCCACGCACCTAGACAGCCTTGAGCACTCTCCACGCTCACGTTGTCTCATCCTTCCACCCAAGGGGATGAGACTTCTTCACTGTCACGGCTCCTTCTAGAAGTTTCGGGACTGTCACAGAGGGCAACTGTCAGACAATGAGGATAGGTGTGTGTGCCTGTGGCCCGTGGGATCCAACATGAAGGACTGAATTTGAGCCACGTTACAGCAATGGCCCCAAACACAACGCAGCGTGGTCCGACAGTGGTGGCGAGCGGAGGGACGGCTCACCTTGACCTGGCTTAGAAGCGCAGCCCCCAGAAAGCAAAGCTGTCTCCTCTCATTTTAAAAAATAACACTTAACCCTTTATGATCATAAAAGTTAAAACTTGTTTGCTGTAGAAAATTTGGAAAGTAGAGAGAAATATGAAGAGAAAAGTTAAGCTCGCCGGAAATCCCACCGTCAGGGCAATCACACAGTTGAGTGGCCTTTGGGAGCCCCCAGCGCAGAATCCGGCCCAGGCAGGCACCCAGCCCCCCGAAAAGGTTTACATTGTATGCCTTTCCTCCCGATGGTATGCTCTTCGCCTCCCCTCCCCTTTCAACAAAATCGGGCCCAGATTGCGTCATTCCTACCCCGCGCCGTGCCACGCCTTGTGCTGGAGACCTTCTCCCTGGCTCGCAAGTGCTCTTTGCAGACCGTGCAGGGTTTCAGTCACCGTGTGAGATCCCAGCCTGCAAGTGGCCTGTAATTTATTCCCTCCACCCACCACCACTGTGAGACTTTTGGGGAGACCATGTGAAAAAAACAGAGGGTTCTGTCGCTTCCGAAAAGCTGAGCAGGCCAGCCCTCCCCGGCTGGATGGAGCGGCGGGTGTGTTTGGCTGGGAGGGACGTTCGGCTCAGGAGCCTGGGACTCTGATATCTGGTTTTTTTTTTACAGTCCTATGGTGGTAGTTTTTTTTTTGTTTTGTTTTGTTTGTTTTGTTTTGTTTTGTTTTGAGACAGAGTCTCACTTTGTTGCCCAGGCTAGATAGAGTGAGTGCCACAGCATCAGCCTAGCTCACAGCAACCTCAAACTCAAGCAATCTGCCTGCCTCAGCCTCCCAAGTAGCTGGGAATACAGGCATGCACCACCATGCCCAGCTAATTTTTTCTATATATTTTTAGTTGGCCAATTAATTTCTTTCTATTTTTAGTAGAGACAGGGTCTTGCTCTTGCTCAGGCTGGTTTCCAACTCCTGACCTTGAGCAATCTGCCCACCTTGGCTTCCCAGAGTGCTAGGATTACAGGCGTGAGCCACCACACCCGGCCTGGGTGTCTCTTTTTGTCAAAGAGAATTCTTATTAAAACCATCAGGCTGCTCCATGTCTACGAGATTTCCTGTTGAAGTGATGAGAAAGTTCTGGAAGTAGGTAGTAGTGTTGGTTGCAAGACACTGTGAAGTACCAAATGCTGTTGAATGGTGAGTTTTATATTATGTGGATTTGATCTCTCTCACTCTCTGTCACACACACCACACACACACGCACGCACGCACGCACACACTGCGCGGCGCCGTCCATCCCAGCATGCTGAGGGCATGTGCCCGCCCTGGGCAAGACCTGTTCCTCCCCACTGAGAGTGTCCTTCCAGTTAGACATGCAGATGCTTTCGAGCCAGCAACCAGCAGGGCTGGCTGCGGTGGCAACCAGACCATTGATAACCATCAGTGGAAGTGGAGGCCGTCACGCTACTTCCAGAAGACAGAGTCGTGCGCAGCAGCGGCAGCTGTCTGCTGCTTTGTCCCCACCGCATGGAGTCAGATCTAAAAGTGGGCTCATGTACTCTGAAAGGAACAGAGTTAGTGTCGTTAGCAGCAGAAAATGCCTTGGGCCTGGTCATTTCTGCTAATGCCATCACAAGAACTTTCCAGAACTTAGGAGGTGAGGAACCAGAGAGCAACTTTTCACTGCCCTTAATTTGCTCAGAGAAGAAACATTCTCTCTGGCTGAGATTCCTGGCTGGCACCTATTAATAGCTCACCTGTTACTGGCAGCGGCCTCCTTCACAAAGTCCGGTCGTGAAGCTGGGCTTCCCAAAGTGCGGGAAGGACAGTTCTGCTGCACACTAGAGGCTGGAGCTCCAGCCCCTCAGCCAGTCCTCTCACCGGGCAAATCTTTCCACTTCCTTTAGCTTCATTTTTAGATCTGGAGAAAGCCAGCATCGCAAGGAAGCTTAACACTCAGCTGACCAGTGGCCTCGCCTTCCCATTTTATGGATGGGAAAGTAGGCTTGGAATAGGGAAACAACTTGCCTAAAGCCACACGACCAGCTTGTGCAGAGCCGGGCTGGACACCAGGTCTTCAGCCCCCAGCTCGACGCTCTGGCTGCCCCACGGGGTGGTGGGGCACACACGTGCTGCTGCTCTTGGCCCGGGTGTGGATCGGAGCACGGAGGCTGTCACTCCCTAAGGGCACATGTGCAATTAAGCAGAAGGAGCCTTCTCCACCTGTGGGTCAGTGAGCCACAAGGCCACTCTGTGTGAGCCGCACTCAGTGATGTCACTGGGAGTTGTCCCCAGGTGACTGCACGGAGGTGAGACAGTGTCACACGCACCTCCCCTTTGCTTCAAATGCACAGCTCAGCGTCTTTGCAGACCCTTCCTATGAGCCAGGGTGTGCTTTACAAAAGCTAATGGGGATTAGTGTCACTAAAGTTGGTATTCAACCCCCCACTGCTAAATTTGACTGGCTCAAAAAAAAAAGGCTAATGTCAATTTAGTGTAATAAGGGGCTTGGCTTTATGAGCAGGAAGAATTGCCTTTGTCCAGGAGCATGAAAAAGTGGTTCTAAAATTAAAATTATGTCATTGGGTGGCTCTCACACTCTGGCAATGAATGACACCTTGCTAGGTGGTTACAGGGTGCTTCCTTCCACAGGGAGGTCTACACTGAGCGTGCACTGCTGTGGCTTAGGGAGACGTTCCCACTTGTTCCTGAAGTGCTGAGTTAACAGACTTCCCAAGGAATATCCTGTCCCAGCCCAGAGTCCTGTCCCAAGAACATAGTTCTTGAAGGCCCAGGCTGAAAGGGGACCACATGCCTAATGGGTTCACGTTGAGCTCAAATTACAAGTGCAACTGTGTATGTTGCTATTTGTACATCCAATGTCAATGTTTATTGCTTTGACCTAGAGCTACAGTGCCCAGGATAGGAACCGCCAGCCAGGCACGGCTATTTAATGTTATACTAAGTTAAAGGAAATACAATTAAAAATTCAGTTTCTTGGTTACTTTAGCCACATTTTGAGTGCTCAAGAGCCACATGTGGCTCGTGGCTGCCATACCGGACAGCAAGGACCTGGAACACTTCCATGATTGCAGAGTCAACTGCTCCAGCCCAGAGAGTGGGCGCTGTTGGTGGGAGTTGGCAAAACAGTATGAGATACAGCCCTGGGACCCACAGAGCACAGGGCTGAGAGTCTCTAGGTGACGCCTGGATGGAATGGATTTTGCAGTTGGCTGAGACCTTCGTCTCTTCTCCAAGGGCCATGCAGACCTGAGGAACAGAGAGAAGCCACAGAAACAGACACTTCCTCTAGATGTAGTCAGAAAATCTGGACCAGTGAGCACCAGTCTGTCCTAAGACCAGCTCGAGCTGCAGGGCAAACCTTTCTTCGTGGGGACACGCTGGAGAATCCACACAGGGATCGTGGGCCAGTCTCTTCTTTGTACCTGGCACATATTTTTGGTCCTGGAAATCCAACCACAAACAGATTATTATTAATCAAATCATATTCTTCCAGATAAATGTTCCTGCTTATTCTGATGGCATGTTTGGTTTCCAGGTATCAAACTGACTTTGATTATGGAAAGGGAGATTTATTCTCAGAAGTTGGGGAAATCTCGCGAGGGAGGCAGTTCTGCTCTGACACAGGTGGAAATGGATCCAGTGAGCCAGGGCCCCCTCCCTTCTTGCATGCCCTCTTTTCCACCGTCCCGGCCCCAGTATGGTTCCTCTCCAGGCACGATGGCTCCTGTGGCTCCCTCGGCAGCCTGCGTGCTGTCTGTCGTGGCGGACTGCAACACCTGGCTTCCCCCCTGGCCTCCCTGCCTTAGCTCCAGTGCCCAGAGCTCTCCTGGACCGCCATTCTGTCCGAGGGAATCTGACCTGGGCTGCTTGGGGCCAGGTGTCTCCCCCACATCAATGACTTGAGCCCGAGGGTAGGGTTCTTCCAAGACGTTGGAAGGCACAGGTGCTCAGAGGGGAGGAGGGGAGGACACAGCCGCCTCTCCCGCACAACTCGGCATGAGGCCAGTCACACCATCCTCCATGTTGTGGTCGGACAAGAGAAAATAAAACAACTGAAAATCCCTGTGCCCATTTACGAGGATCAAACCCAGCTGGAAATTCAAGATATGAACCTAAATTCACAGTGTCCAAGTGTCAAGAACAGAGACTGCTACATAAAGTGCTTAATGAATATTTATACAATGAATACATGAATGGATTGACCCATTGAACTTCAAAAGACACACAGAGTACAGGAATTTTATATCATACATTTTAAAAGGAAAAAAGTCCCTAAAATGGACATTAAGTTTCCAACATCTTCCTTTCAGCAGGCATTTACTAAAGACCTACCCGGCTGCCCACACAGCGGTGAAGGGGAATCTCTGAGCTCAGCCTGGCAGGGAAGATAAAAGTTAAACAAGTAACCACATTAAAGTCTGTGCAAATACCCTGAGGATAACAAAGACAATCTGAACTCATATTTCCTCACTCTCTTGATAAATTTCACTGTAGCAAGAACAAGTAACCAGAATCATTCCAAAGTATTGTAGGAGGTGCTTAATCATGTTACTCTGAAGATAAAGACGGTGTTTCTCCCATCAGACAGCATTTTAAACATATTTTAAGTTAACAAAGTAATTTTCTTGTCCATGAAAAGTTAAACACAGAACAGTGTAATCGATCATGACACCGGGACTCACTGTACCAGGCAAATCAGGATCTATATCCTACTCAAATGTCATCTGGGACACTATGTCTACCCTAAGTCAACCCCAAGAGTC